ATATTTAAAAGGTATGAAAAGTGTGATTAAGTATATTGTATATAACTAATATGACATGGGTTAATACAGGTATCATAAGATGAAATGAAATGAAATGGGGTTTAACGTCCTACTGTTCTGCTCCTAACCTAGGCTAATGAAGACGGGCATACACCATACAGTGTGCTATGAGGGAAATTTTGCCCGGGCAGTGGCGCTACGGCCTACTCTTATATCGAATTCCAACTGCCAAGGGATCTTTAACGTGCATGCAATGTGTACACGGGACCTCGGTTTTTCGTCCCATCCGAACGACTAGACAGCTGTCCTTGTCAGGCCCTCCATCCTGCATCACTGACAAGGGGAAACCACGCCGGAAAATCGGGATGAACTTTCTCGGCCAATGCAGGGATCGAACACCCGATCTCCAGGCTAGCGAGTCAGCGTCTTACCCACTTAACCACGTGATCCCCGTATGATAAGATTATTATATATATATATATATATATATATATATATTATGTTCTGATATAAATGATATTGGCTCCCCACAAACACAACAGGGATTTATACTGCACTATTATAAATATCCCCGTATAGTGAGTTTTGTAGCGACAAACAGAGAAATTTGTTAAGATTACGGAGTTGGATGGCTGAATGGTTAACAGGTGCGTGCTGTACATCATCAGGTCTGTCATTGAGTGCACCACCCACCAAAAACTCGTTGTAACAGACCGTTTCATTGGCTAATCCCTCACATCAACCAGAATGCTGGTTATGTAACAACTCTTCCAGATTCTAGTGTAGTAAAGACAAATAAAACTATAAAAAACGAAACGAAATAGGATGTGTGTTTTATTCAGATTGTTTAGAAGTGGGAGGAAAATGAAGTACCTATCTAATAGAGCTTATAATTTATAATCTACAGACAGACATAGTGTAAGAGCACTCGGCCATCAAACCTCTGATCACCAGTAAATTTAGATACATATAAAACTATATATAGTAGCATAATTTGTAGTATAAACATGATTTATGTGTAGAATTTAAATTATGTTAAACTATTTGTTAATAAACATGTCATACCTGGTTGACTTCATACCACACATACATGTACATATATACCACACATATATAAATACTTCATCTTGTTGTTGATCTAAATTAAGTAGCCAGTTAAACATAGACATTGCTTGTACCGACGGCGTATCCAGAGACCAAGGGGGGGCACACAGGAGGCAAAGTCCAGGTGGCCTCACATGGAAAATTTCAAAAACTAGAAGCCTGGAAATTCCATTTCAAGTGATCTGAGACAAGAATTCAGTTCTAAAGTGCACCCACTGGATCGAGAAAGGGGATGGGCATGTGCCGCATTCGACACATTCAAAATCCGCCCTTGTGTACAACTGGCAGACTATTGTCATCAGGAAACGCCATTAAAGAGAAAATCACTGTCAAGACTGGTCACATTATTGCGTCTTTCTCGTAAATCACTATTTTGAGTGAAGTCTGTACCATGCACATGCCTGGGACTGTACATCGCAGTGGTGGCTTACGGCTGGCCTCTGGATCCATTCATTTGATTTTGATATTTTTATACACTCATGTCCGTTCACATTTTGTTTGTGGATAAAACTGGAAATATAGGTTTATATCCCAAAGATTTTCCTTTCGATATTGAAGGGTTGGATAGCCGAAAGGTTAGCATGTGTATCGTGTATCATAAAGTCTGTCATTGAGTCAACTGGCATGGTTTCAATTCCCCAGTTGTATGTGACAAGGAGTAGGGTCGCCTGTCCAACCTCATGGGTTTTCTCTGGGCCCTCCGGTTTCCTCCCACTGCTAAAAACCCCTACCCACAAACGAATTATTGAAATGAAATTGAAGCATATGTTCGTCACAAAAAGACCTGGTTTGTGTAAAGTGGATGTTAAACCCCATTTTTCTCTCTCTCTCTTAGATACTGGCATGTATTGAACCTTAACTTCATGGATTATGGTCCCTGAAAAGTCATGTTTTTAGTTTTTGGACACTCCAGAAGTCACAAATTTTATTCAGTTTTGATGAATCTTGAAATATATGTATGTATATATCCCAAAGATCTTGGTTCCTTTTAATAATGACACATGTTGGACCATAGCATCCTGGATTATGAGCAATGATTGTACAAAAAATTGCTTTTTTTAAACTTGTTCTCTGTCCATGTCTTGCAAAATGTGGGTGTATCTTGCATATGGCCTGTTTGTTTATAGCTTGCAATGTCTGTTAGTTTGTCTAGTCTACTGGTTTTGTTTGCGTGTACTACTCCAGTATTAATATTGTTTTAAATGTTTGAATATACCATGAAGTGCACATGTTGCATTATAGAGTTTGTCTATATTTTAGGACACTCCAATTTGAAGTTTTGTTCTTCGACAAAATCTGTTAAAATTCTGCTTCCAATTTCTCGTGGGGCAGTGGCAGGAAAAATGATTTAAAAACCAAGTACATGTATAATTGGTGGCTCTTCTCAAAGGCTTTCAATGCCTAATATTTTTTTTATGTTTTGAAAGTTCAAACATAACATTGTCCATGGGATTAGACATTGGCTATTTCTTTATTGAAAAAGAACCACGAAGAATTCAAAATTAAATTGCTTCAGCCTCATGCACAAGTATTTATATAAGTCTGGAGAAACACTTGAAATCAATTCTACATTTACAAAACTAAATGTTTTTTTGTGATCTTTTGATCCTCGACTTCCTGATATTCTGCAGTGTGGTGTGCAACTAATTAACAATAAATCGTAGTCACATCCCATTATCCTGAAGGCAGCAATCATTTTCTATAACAGATTTCCCCTCAGAGACAGCTTTGAGGTTTTTTTTTTAAATCTTTGAAATAAAGCTAAGATTCTATTGAGCTTGAAGCCTGTTTACTTTGAAGTTTTAAATGAAAAAGACAAGAATTAAGATTCACAAACTTCTGAAGACTTTTTGAATCCGTTTGATATGTTAATATGTCCCAGACTCTTAGGGGTTTTTTTTTCCATTCCGTACTAACTATATGGAAATGAAATGAAATGAGGTTTAACGTTCTACTTTTCTGTACAAATTTAATTAAATTTAAATGAAGATGGGCATACACCATGCAATGTGCTATGAGGGAAATTTTGCCCCTACAGTGGCATTTCTGCCTAGAATTGATCAAATTCATCAAACTGTCAATAGTACTTTTTATGTGCACACTAACATACACAGGACCTTTGCTTTTTGTCCTGTCCAAACAACAAGACCTCTTGTTTTTTTGCCAGGCCCTCTGTTCTGCACCACAGACAAGGGGAAACCATGCTGGAAAATCCTTGTCAGGCCCACCGTCCTGCACGACTGACAGGGGGGAACCACGCTGCAAAATCCTTGCCATGCCCACCATCCTGCACCACTGACAAGGGGAAACCACAGAACTTTTGAAGAGAAAAATCTTGGTACGGTCTGAAAGTCTATATATGCCTTTTAGTTGTGATTTTAATCATCAGAATAATGTGTACGGAACCTGTGCTTTTTGTCCCATTCAAACAACTAGACCCTGTTGTGGAATGTTGTGCCTTTAATCAGCAGAACGCTGAAATGAATTCAGATATTTTTCAAGAATTTATTCAAAATATATGACACTTAAAAAACATGAAGCCAATGTTGTGATAAGCTATGACACGTAATTACGTAACTTTTCAAAAATTCCTCTTCATCCAGACGACCAGTCATCTACCTGTCCCCACTATTTACTTACAATGCAAAGTATATTTACCCACGAAATAGTAAACAATAAACAAATTGTCTGAAATCTGTCATTCTCCATGTAGGTGCCGCATTCGACACCCTTCTCACTCGTCATTTTAAATTGGTGACACGATATTAACGGATCGACTTTCAAAGAAAATATTATATAACAAGTATGTGAACATCCACGACAAATTACATGTCATGTTCGGCCATTGTCCGCACATCAATTAGGAAAATTGTCATGTCACATCTAAAGATTTTTTTTTCTCCATTAAGAAAATTAAATACCTTGAAATTGTCCAACCGATAAATTTACCACAAATTATCTGAGGATAAATATCACTTTGTGAAATTTGAAGTTTGAATAAAAAAAAGTGGGTCTTGCAGTAATGGTTTAAAGTAGCAATTTATTAAAGATACATTATGTAAGATTTAGATAAAGAACTAGCCATTCTTGCTATAATAGTTCGAAAGTAAATGATGTAAAATGAATAATTTGAAAATTTCATTCAAATTACTCTATTGCAAGCGAATAGATATTAGCCTTTGAAGGTTTGACAGACGTGTGCAACAATTTCAACCACCGTACTGGTTGATCGAAGCTAAGTCTTGGTCCTCCGTATTTGATTAAATCAAAGTATCGCTGAACCATTCTAATCTATTTAATATTGGAGAAATCTGATGCCATCGAGAGTTGATTAAGGCCTGGATCAGTTAATTAATGTCTAATTAACAATTTAGATAACATTTCAGGCCTAAAGAAAGACCTGCAATAGGCAGATTTAGCTCTTGCATAATGCATGTTTAATTTACAAAAAAACAGTTGCATCCAGTCTTTGTTAAAGTGACAATATTGTTATTAATCTGTGAAAATTATCAGAGGATATATATCTCTTTGTGAAGTTTGACTAAAAAAATGGTTTTTGCATTAATGGTTTAAAGTAGCGTGGTTTAGATTCTCCTTTTGTACGTGACAAGGAGTAGGGTCGTCTACCCACCCTCATGGGTTTTCTCTGGGTCCTTCAGTTTCCTCCCACTGCTAAAGACCCCTATGCGCAAGCGAATTGACTCAATGACAGACCTTATGATGCAACCCTATCTTTCCTTCTCTTTGATTTGGACAAACAACACAAATGTTTTTTTGGTAGCCAAGCCAACCAATTTAAGAAATTGAGTGGATGTTAAACGCCATTTCTCTCTCTCTCTCTCTCTTTAACGTAAATGTAATTTTGTGATATTTATGATGTTTTCCTATATTTCCAGTTGATATTATTAGTAACTGTTACAAGAGCTCAGCAGAATGCTTGTCAACGATGTGAAGAACAACCCAACTCCTGTCGAAAGATTGCAGGAATATTTATGGTTACCGTTTTGTCTAAGGGAACTTATAATCCAGTCGTGGAAATTCCGGCACCAGCATGTAAAGTGAATATAACAGAATTGGGACGAAGCAGAAATTATTTAGGTAGGTAAAATCAGATCTGGATTAAGATTTTGTAGGGACATGGGCTACAGATAATGTCTGGTCCACATAAAGACAATCATCTTTCTTGAATCAAACCTTTTGCGCTTAATCTCTGGAGCCTATTCCTTTAAAATCTGGCCCTGGGTAAAACCAATGGAATTGTTGCAAGGCCTGTGAACATGGGGCTAAAAAGTTCCTCAGGATTTTCCAGTCTGGTTTCCAATCGTCAGATTGGTTTCCCCCTTGTCAGTGGTGCAGGTCAGAGTGGTTTCCCCTTGTCAGTGGTGCAGGTCAGATTGGTTTACCTTGTCAGTGGTGCAGGTCAGAGTGGTTTCCCCTTGTCAGTGGTGCAGGTCAGATTGGTTTCCCCTTGTCAGTGGTGCAGGTCAGAGTGGTTTCCCCTTGTCAGTGGTGCAGGTCAGATTGGTTTCCCTTGTCAGTGGTGCAGGTCAGAGTGGTTTCACCTTGTCAGTGGTGCAGGTCATTGATGGCAGGTGTATTTTTCTGTAGGGCTAGCAAATTTTGTCATGACACCTGCCCATGAACTAGTGGTTCAAAAGTGAAATTGTGCACCCCTGGGTCAGAGTGGTTCCCTTGTCAGTGGTGCGGGACGGAGTGGTTTCTCCTTGTCAGTGGTGCAGGATGGCGGGACTGGTATGGAAAGGTGTCTAGTTGTTCGGATGGAACAGAAAACCTAAGTCCCTGTATATACCATTGTCATCCCGTTAAAGACCCTGCCCATTATTCATTAGCTCAGTTAGTGCGGGAAAGTAAAACATTTGGATGGAACAGAAAACCGAAGTATACAATTGTCATCACTTTAAAGATACAGTACCCTTATCAAGTTCAGTCAACATTCAAGTTTTTGTTTCTGAAAAGCTGCTGTGTTGGCATATTTCCATGCTTTGCAGGGAACTATAAAAATGGGTTCGTCTGTCTGTCCATCCATCTGTCCAATCTGATTAAAACAGATCCAATTTCGTTTCGTTTTTATGGTTCAAAATTTCGATTTTACTTGTCTTTACTACACTTGGATCTGAAAGCGTTGTTATTTAACTCGCGTTCTGCTTGAAATGAGGGGTCAGCCAATCAAGTTCGATCATGAACATTTTCTGCTGAGGGTAAGCAGAGCGATAAGCAATTTGATTGGTTGAGACTGTGGAACACAATAACTCTCCTTCTAATTGAGTTAGAATGTTCAAACTTAGTGTAGGTGTTCATTAGGTGAAGCAGAGATAAGCAATCTGATTGGTTGATGCTTTGGGGCACGATAACTTTAGTTTTAATTAAGTGAGAGTTATAAAACACCGAGTATAGATTCATTATATCATTACCTTGACTAAGTTCGATGATGAGAATTTTCTGCATAGACTAAGGACCGATAAGCAATTTGATTGGTCAAGACTTTGGAACATAATACCTCTGCTTTTAATTGATGTAGAATGTTTAAACTTGATGTAGATGCTTATTAGGTGAATGTCTTGATTAACATTTCGAGCTAAATCTAAGCAGAGCTAAGCAATTTCATTGGTCGATAGTGTATAGTTGATAATCAGTTTGATTGCTTGATACTTTCGAAAAAAATAAATGTGCTATTGTTTAATATGTGTCATCTATTTATTTTGAGAATTCAGCGGGGGACATCAGCCTCACTGTTTATGATGTTATTTGGTTATACTTACAGCTATAAAGACAAAGAGTGGTGTTAGAATTATCAATGGGTATTGGAGAGTTAGTTCCCCTGGTCAGCATAGTGGAGCTGGTTCAGTATTCTCATACTATAAATCTAACAGTGGCTCGTGTCCAGGAGAATGTATTAATACAGAAGGTCCAACCAATGAAACTATTGTAGTACAGGTAAGAATAGTGCACTAGATCTCTTGTTATGATTACAATGGCTTGTACTTCAAGGAGCCACGGTGGCTTATTGAGTAAGACACTGCCTCATCTAACCAATAGGTCCCAAGCTAGGTGCAGGAGTTGGCAGTGAAAGTTTGTCATGGTCTGGCAAGGAAGAGCATGTAGTGGTTCGGAAGGAATTAAAAATTGATATCCTGTGTGCACATTGGGATGGATGTACACTGTGCACGTTAAAGAACCTATGTCATGCATCACTGAAAAGGCAGAACCATGCCGGAAAATCTGGATGAACTTTCTCGGCCAATGCAGGGATCGAACTCCTGACCTCCAGGCTAGCTAGCCAGCGTCGTACCCACTTAGCCACCGAGATCCCCAATGAAGACGGGGAGGGGGTGTATATATACATGTAGATATATGTAGTACAACAAGTTCTTTCCCATAGTGACCAGTAACGAAACAGTTGATCAGATTAAATTTATCGTTCCAGGTGCTGTATTATAACCAAAATCCAGGTATTTCCTATGAGTTTACTTTACCAAATTATGTCCCTTTTACACCGTATGAAGGGTCCCGATTAATCGGTGCTACGAATCGTGGATACAGACATCATTTACAGAATCGAAAAGATAGCCGGCATTCCATTTATAATCGCAATCATCCAATTAAGTTAACCTCGAGCGGTGAACGAAATCCCAATAGAGTAAGTGACAGATCGGAAGTACCTAGTGAATCTCATGACAGACAGGAGTTCAGTTTAGGGAGAGGTAGTAATTTACCTGTATTACCTCAGACTCCTGTAATACGATATGGTTTCGACACATTAGGAGGGCGTGGCTCTAGTTATACGCAGGTAAGATCAGTCATTGTTTAATTTTTACAAACATCAACAAATTACGAAGAATGGTTATGGATGAATTAGATCTGGCTTGTTATTTGACGATGTCGACAAAATATGTGTTGTTCAACACATATTTTGAATCTGAAGAGATCAAAATATTATCATTGCCAGTCAGTATGTCAGTTATTTTCCCAACCAGAGATATATAGCAAAGTTCTGACATTTTTAAAAGAGACAAATTTTTATTCAAAATTTTAATTGTATATAGTTTATCATATATTATTTTTTAATATTTATATATGTAAAGGATTTGATATATTTGGTTTTAATTACACTTTCTGTGATATTTGTTTTTATTTACATATATGAATACATTTCTGTGATAATGTTTTAATTTGTCTTGTTATATTCACCATATGTTTGGCGCAATATAGCCTGGTTGGAGCTGACGTGCCATAAAACTCTGTTTCATTCATTCATTCCGATTTTTATGTGAACTTTTTTAATATTTAGATGACAAAGACAGTCTTGTAGACAAAGCGGCATACAATTGGTTTTTCAACATAATCTTTTGAGTTTTAAGACTTGATTTTTATGTGAATTTAATGTATCTTTTTCATATTTAGACAAGTAGACAAAGACAATCTGGTAGACAGAGACAACAGTCTGGTAGACAAAGACAGTCTGGTAGACAGAGAGGCGGAAGTCCCTTAGTTGTAGCACCTCGTCCCCGCTACATCGCCCCATACAGGAACAATCGAGGTTACACCAACTATAACTCACGATCAGCACTAACAGCCAATACCTACGAACGAGTCGATAAACCTAATTTTGACCTGGCAGCTCAAAGATCTAACTCGTTCGCTGAAGAAAGAGCAGATAACTCATACGAGTGGAAGATTTCTGGTTTCAGCGATTGTTCTGAGTCATGTGGTGGAGGTTAGATTGTATTTTATCTTCGACAACAATATTGTTTTACTGTTGATTGAATAAATTTAAAACCAGTGCAGCGTTTCATTTGTTGTGGCAATCAGGCAGAGAAATGGAGTTTAATATCCACTCGACACAAACTAGGTCATTTCAGGACTAACATACTGTTCAATTTTATTTCAATAAGCCTGAGAAAACCCACAAGGATGGACTGGCGCCCCTACTCCTTGTCATGACAATCGAGGAGTTGAAACCATGCCACTTGACTTAATGGCAGACCTTGTGATTTAACCATTTGGCCACCCAATCCCTGTCTTATTCATGAACCATAAAATGGACCATCCCGATTTTAACAGCCTCAGAAACAAAAGTCTGTGTACGTATGAAATTTAAGCGCCAAAATCTAGAAGAATGGTGTACGTATTTACCTTGTCTCAAAATTTCAGCTCAAAATATTGAGTCGTTTGGATGTGAACGCTAAAACCGCTTATCGGGACACGTAACCATTTTAAGATTTTGGGTCAATTTTTTCGTTTGGTGACCTGATAATCTATTGCCATTCCTTTAGAGTTCTATACAGTGCTTGACCCACATGCTGTATTTGAGCACTTGGCCAATCAAAAGGCTGCATTCTTCAAATATTTTACATTAAGTTATCTCGAATGAAGCTCCAGGTTGTGTTTCTGACATATACAATGGGTTGAGCGAATTGTTTAACTCCTGCGCTTTATATCATAAGGTCTGTCAATGAGTCGAGCTGTGTGGGTTAAGTTTGCACTAATAGTTCAAGTATTGCCCCTCAGATCTTTGTAGGTTTGATTTGATCCCACAATTATTATTATTATTATTATTATTATTATAGGATATCAAAAGACTCTAGTAGTTTGTGTTCTAAAGAATACCCAGGTTACAGTAACAGATGAAAACTGTGAGACCAAACAGAAACCTGTGTCGCAACAAGTAGAATGTAATACAAACCCTTGTTCTCCCAGGTAAATAAACAGTCCTTGTTCTCCCAGGTAGATAAACAATCCTTGTTCTCCCAGGTAAATAAACAATTCTTGTCCTCTCAGGTAAATAAACAACTCTTGTTCTAACAAGTAAATAAACAACTCTTGTTCTCCCAGGTAAATAAACAACCCTTGTTCTCCCAGGTAAATAAACAACCCTTGTTCTGCCAGGTAAATAAACAATCCTTGTTCTCCCGGGTAAATAAACAACCCTTGTTCTCAAAGGTAAATAAACAGTCCTTGTTCTCCCGGGTAAATAAACAATCCTTGTTCTCCCAGGTAAATAAACAACCCTTGTTCTCAAAGGTAAATAAATAGTCCTTGTCCTCCCGGGTAAATAAACAATCCTTGTTCTCCAAGGTAAATAAGCAACCTTTGGTCTACCTGGTAAATAAACAACTATTATTCTATGGCAAAGAAAAAATCCTTGTTCTCACAAGCAAATAAACAACCCTTGTTCTCCCAGGTGAATAAACAACCCTTGTTTTCACGGGTAAATAAACTGTCCTTGTTCTCTCGGGTAAATAAACAGTCTGTGTTCTCCTTGGTAAATAAACAGCACTTGGTTATCCTACGTAAACTTCCCTTGTTCTCTTGGGTAAAAAAACAACCCATTTTCTCCCAGGTACCCAGCTCTCCTGGGTAAATCAATAGTCCTTGTTCTCCAAATCTGTATATAGACCTGTTAACATGATGATTTTTATGTATTTGATATGTATTTCTAGTTGGCATGCTGATGAGTGGGCTGCGTGTAGTGTGACATGTGGATCGGGAACACAGATACGAAGATTAGAGTGTAAACAGAAAATCTCGGCAACTCTAGAACTGTCTGTATCAGCTAGTTTATGTAAAGTGGATGAAAAACCTGCCATAGCTCAGCAGTGTCAGATGGGAAGATGTGCTGAATGGAAAATTGGATCATGGGGTACTGTAAGTAAATTTTTACACCTTTTTCTTCCAGCTCTTAGGGTTTTCAGGACACAAAACAAAAGTGTGGTGTTCTTAGCTGGCAAGGGGGGTTGGATGGCCGGATGGTTAGCAGGTGCATGCTGTATCATACCATCTGTCATTGAGTCAACTGGCGTGGTTTCGATTCCACGGTTGTACTTGACACGGAGTAGGGTCACCTGTCCAACCTCGTTGGTTTTCTCCGTGACCTCTGGTTTCCTCCCACTGCTAAAGACCCCTATGCGCAAGCGAATTATTGAAATAAAATTGAACCATGTGTTAGTCCTGAAATGACCTAGTTTGTGTCGAGTGGACGTTAAACCCCATTTCTCTCTTTATATATAAATAGTCTTAACCTTTTCATTCTGAGTCTAGGATAGCAACAACCAAAGGTAAATATGAGACCACAATGCCAAGTACAAGAAGCAAGTGGCCCAATTACTTTTGTGTAAAGCCTGTGTATTATCGTGGATAAAACGCCGGCTCGCAAGCCTGGAGGTCAAATGTTCGATCCCTGTATTGCACCAGAAAGTCCATCAGAATTTTCTGGCATGGTTTCACCTTGTCAGTGGTGCAGAACAGAAGGCCTGATAGGGACATCTGTCTAGTCTTTCGGATTGGCATGCACATAAAAGATCCCTTTGCAGTTGTAATTTGATATAAGAGTAGGCGAAAGTGTCACTGCCCGGGCAAAATTTCCCTCATCGCACACTGTATGGCTTATGCCCGTCTTCATTAGCCCAGTCAGAGCAGAACAGTTAGACGTTAAACCAAATTTCATTTCATTTCTGTGCGTTATCGAAATGACAGACAGTATAAAAATTTTAAAGTGGAAGCCCAGGGCCCTTATTCACGAAAACTTAAACTAAGATACAATCGAAATTTTAAGAAATACTGCAATTCGTTTGGCTGACCAATATGCAAATCGGATATATGCAAATTGATTTTACTGGTCAGCCAATCAAATTGCAGTATTTCTTAAAATTTCGATTGTATCTTAGTTTAAGTTTTCGTGAATAAGGGCCCTGGTGTATGCCTGACTTGAAGAAGAACTGTATGACGTTAAACTCCATGCCATGATGTTGTTTTTTTATGTTTTCAGTGTTCAGTAGGTTGTGGTACAGGTATCAGAAAGAGATCAGTAAAATGTGTTGATCATCTGGGATCCCAGATACCCAACAGTTATTGTAACACAACCTCACCCGACAGTCAAGAATCATGTGATATGGGTCCGTGTAGAACCAGCTGGTTGTATACACCATGGTCTAAAATGGTAAGAATTACTAAACATACATCATGGCTCTCATCAGAACGGTGGCTGAGTGAGTAAATGCTGGCTCGCTAGTCTGGAGGTCTTTTGTTGACTGAGAAAGTTTCTCTGGGATTTTTTGGCATGGTTTGCCCCTTGACAGTAGTGCAGGATGGAGGGCCTGGCAAGGTACAATGTATAATCGTTTGGGTGGGATGGAAAACCGATGTCCTGTGTACACATTCGCGTAAAACTAAAAGAACCCTTGGCAGTTGGAATTTGATATAAGAGTAGGCTCTAGTGCCGCAATTTGGGCAAAATTTTCTTCATAGTACACTGTATCATCTTCATTAGCCCAGTCAGAGCAGAACAGTAGGACATTAAACCCCATTACATTTCATTTCTTATCAGGACTGATTTTTACATGACCTGGTTTGTAGATATTCAGCCCCATTTGTCTTCCTCTATATATGTCTACATCGTATATTATTATCACCCGTGTCTGTCTGTCTATCAGTCATACACAATTAATAGTGGACACTGTGTTTGTCTGTCTGTTTGTCCTCATTTGCTAGTGGATGCTCTGTTTTGAATATATTAATATTTGATTGGTTTGAATAATTGCTAATTACAATGTGATTATTTTGAATATATGACAAAGTGATTATTTTGAATAATTATGTGGTTTGTATTGAATACATTACAATTAATGTGATGGTATTGAATAGATTGTGATGTGATTGTTTTGAATAATTATGTGGTTTGTATTGAATACATTACAATGTGATGGCATTGAATACATTGCAATGTGATTGTTTTGAATAATTATGTGGTTTGTATTAAATACATTACAATGTGATGATATTGAATACATTGCAATATGATTGTTTTGAATATATTACAGTTTGATTGTATTGAATATATTGCAATGTGATTGTTTTGGATATATTACAGTTTGATTGTACTGGATATACTGCAATGTGATTGTTTTGAATATATAACAGTTTGATTGTACTGGAAAATATTACAATGTGATGTATTGAAAATTTTACAATGTGATCACTTGGATATATCAAAATGTAGTGGTTTTGAATATATTACCGTGTGATTGTTTGGAATATATACTATTCAAAAAAAGTAGGGGATATTTGATTTTGGGGGCATAATACTAAAATATGCAAATGACTACGAAAAAAGTCACTATAGAACCTAAGAGAAGAAACATTTCCAGTTACATGTGACGCCCAAACGCACCAATAGCTACCGCATGGAATGCAGGTGATGCTTGGGATCATCATGGGGGTCCAACCCAAGATTTGCACGACTCTGACTTTGAATGTTACAGTCATTGTGGCATTGAATTCCAGGGTGGAAACATCAGTTTAATTGTTTTAGTGACCAGAAAACAAATTTTGATATGCGTCGGCTTACCCAAAATGAAAGGTTACGTGCCCTTGGCATGCTACAGATCGGCACAACACAGGCGGTTGTGGCGCGGACGATGAATGTTTCTCAGTCTGTCATAAGCAGGCTATGGTCCAGATACCGTGATACACAATCTGTACAGGACAGACCACGCTCAGGTCGACCAAGGGCGACAACTCAAGCCCAGGATCGATTTATCCGTACCTTGGCCTTGAGAAATCGTGTCATCACAGCAAATCAGATCAGCGCTCGTCTTCAAACAGACACTGGTGTGAGAGTGAGTGGCCAGACGATTCGGAATCGACTGCATAGGGGTCACCTTCGCGCCCGACGTCCTCGCGTGATCCCTTGTTTGAGAGATCATCACATTCAGGCAAGACATCGTTGGTGTAGGGATCGTCAACACTGGGATAATCGACGCTGGAGCAATGTGATGTTTTCAGATGAGTCAAGGTTCACTGTTAATTTTTTGAACAGACGTAGGAGGGTGTGGCGTCGTCGAAACGAGCGCTTCCAAGACGTTAACGTCATCAGACATGATCGATTTGGGGGTGGTTCTGTTATGGTGTGGGGAGGCATCACTGTTGCTGGAAGATCGGCTTTACATGTTGTTGCAGGGCGTGTTACAGGCCAGTACTACCGGGACAACATCTTGGCAGTCCATGTTGTGCCGTTCGCACGACGTCATGGCCGCCGTTTCATCTTCCAGGATGACAACGCAAGATGTCACAGGGCCAGGATCGTTACAGGTTACCTCCAACAACAGAACATCACCACATTACCTTGGCCAGCACTGAGTCCCGACCTCTCCCCCATCGAGCATGTCTGGGACATGCTTGGACAGAGGTTACGTCAACATCAACAACGTCCTGCCAATGTCCAAGAACTTGCTGCTGCGTTGCAACAGGAATGGGACAATCTGGACCAAAATGACCTTAGACGTCTCATTAGGAGTATGCCACGTCGGATCAATGCTTGTTTGGCAAACAGAGGAGGATTTACCCGTTACTGACTTGGTTGTGATGCTGTGGTAACTTTGCTGTTTGACCCCGGGTATCATTTTACCCTTATAATGGTCAGTCTGTGCCTTACTTAGTCTAACGATCATTTGGAATAAATCGATAAATGTGAACTTCATTTCATTTTGTCATTTGTTTCTTCGTCAGTTTCATTAGGTGACTTTAATAACACTTAAAAATCAAATATCCCCTACTTTTTTTGAATAGTATATTACAATGTCAATGTTTTGGATATATTACAATGTGATTGTATTGAAAATATTACAATGTGATTGTTTGGATATGTCAAAATGTGATTGTTTTGAATATATTACCAAGTGATTATCTTCAATATATTCCAGTGTTCCAGTAGTTGTGGTGCCGGTGTAAAAACTAGAGAAGTTATATGTTATAGTAAAGATGGGTCTCGGGTGTCATCCTCTGTTTGTGATGCCAGTATAAAACCACGGAATCAAGCTTCATGTCACAGTGATGATGCTTGCGGTTCAAAATGGTTTACTGGACCCTGGAGTGAGGTAAATATAATGACAATCAATTTTTCTGATATAAGGGGTCCTTATTCATGCTGCCAGCGGTATACACAACAGCAGCACTTTCCAAAAAACTAAAAAAAAATTTTCATGCCTGACAGAGACAGCTGTCTGGTAATTCGGAAGGAACAAAAAACCAAGGTCCTGTGTACACATTGGCGTGCACATTAAAGAGTAGGCCATAGCGACGCTGTCCTGGCAAAATTTCCCTCATTGCACACTGTATGGCGCATGTTCGTCTTCATTACCCCAGTAGGAGCAGAACAGTAGGACATTATATTTTTTTCATGCCAGATCTCCATCCTGCACCACTGACAAGTGGACACTAGCCTGGGAAATCCTGATAACCCAGATCAAAACCTGGAACAAAACCAGGACCTCCAGGTTACTGAGCATGTATCATTCTAACCAAGCCTCTGTGGTTTCCGTAATGCTGTTGCCCTTTTTTTGTTTCTTTGACTATATACTGCATGGATCAGCAGGAAGTTATAGAGGGCTTTTTAGGGCCAGTTCCCACATTTTAATATTAAGGCCTGTGAGAAGATGTGCCTATAAATTACAGATATCTTTACAATTTGAATTCCAGAATTATGGACTTTTTAACATGTGCAGCATGGTGGACCAGCAGGATTATAGAGGATTTTTCATTGCCGGTTCCCACATTTTAATATTAAGGCCTGTGAGAGGATGTGCCTATAGATTACAGATATCTTTATGGTTTGAATTCTAGAATTATGAACTTATTAACTTATATTTGAATGTTACAGTGTTCGGCAGATTGTGGTAGTGGTGTTAAGAGTAGATATGTTGTGTGTATGAAGGTAGTAGGAGATGCAGCAGTTGTCTCCCCTGATGAAGATTGTTGGAAGACGGAGAAACCAACTAATGAAGATGATTGTAATAATCAGGCCTGTGGTGTAAAATGGTTTATATCAGAATGGAGTCAGGTATATCTTTCAAGATTTTAACATTGGTTTACATGTGTCAACACAGCCTTTCCACATCTTACTTCACGGACCTCATTCAGTCATATCAACCAAATCGACCACTTTACTCACAAAATAAAGCCTCACTGATTGTGTCGCAAACTAAACTGAAATCCTATGGTGATAAGGCTTTCAGCATCTGTGGAACTCGTCTGTGGAATAACTTACAATTTGAGATGCAGAGTTCGCAAACATTAGCTGTGCTCAAATCCAAACTCAAAACCATTTGTTTGTGACTTATTATCCGGATAAGCTATTATCTTCCATGAGCTTAGAGCATGCAGTAGTGATGGATTGAGCACAGTCACAAATGTACATTGTTAATATTATTATATGTAAGCTAGTATAAAATAATCATGGACCAAGACTAATAATTGTTATAGATTGAAGTCAGTGGGTAGAGAATTACTAGTTTGAGTCCTGAATGTATGAAAGTTGAAATGCATTTGCTCCCTTTAGTCTCCAAAGTATACTTATGCTTTCTGGAACACATGACACCACTTCTCATCTGAAGCTAACAAAATATTATTCATCCTGTTTGATATAAGAGATTTGTGAATATGTCTAGAACATACTTCAGTTATGTCAAAGCCGGTCTGAATCCTGATAGTATGAATGTTTGAATGCATTATCTCCCTTTAGTCTCCAAGGTACTTCTAGTTCTACTTCCAGGAACACATGATACCACTTCTCATTTGAAGCTAACAAAGTATTGTTCATCCTGTTTGAAATAAGAGATTTGTGAATATGTGTAGAACACACTTCAGTTATGTCTAAGCTGGTCCGTGTCCTGATGATATGAAAGTTGGAATGTATTATCTCCCTTTAGTCTCCAAAGTATACTTCTAGTTCTACTTCCTAGAACACATGATACCACTTCTCATTTAAAGCTAACAAAGTACAGTTAGTACTATTTGACTGAATGACAGATCGTATGATACAGCACGCATGTGCTAACCATTCGGCCATTGAGTAAACTGGCGTGGTTTTGATCCCCGGTTGTACGTAACAAGGAGTAAGGTCGCCTGTCCAACCTCGTGGGTTTTTTCAGGGTCCTCCGGTTTCCTCCCACTGCTAAAGACCCCTATGCTCAAAGCGAAATATTGAAATAAAATTGAATTATGTGTCAATCCCGAAATGACCTAGTTTGTGTCAAGTGGACGTTAAACCCCATTTCTCTCTCTCTCCTCACAGTGGTTTGTTTGATTAAACCTAATCCTACTCAAACACTGCTGAACTCACCTCTTATTTCTGTCCTATATTATGACTCGTTAAAGATACACTATGGGAGATTATATAAAGAGCTGGCAGTTCTCACCATAACAGTTAAAAATTAGATAATGTAAAGGGAATTTGCTGAAAATTTCAGTCAAATTGATCCACCCTGAACCAAGATTACAAATGGCTCATAAAGACTTTAAAGATACATTATGGGAGATTAGATAAAGAGCTGGCAGTACTCACTATGATAGTTAAAAACTAAATAATGTAAAGGGAATTTGTTGAAAATTTCAGTCAAATTGATCTACTCTAAACCGATAATGTAGCAATTGAATTTTGGGCCTAGCCTCGATCATCATTACTAAAGTCAGTACGATATCCATTTTTTGATTTAATCAGAAGCAGCAGACCAGGTTCTAATCCAGTAAATATCACAGGCTAGCGATGCCATCTGAGTTGATTATGGTCTGGCTGAGTTAATTAATATCTATTTAATAAATTAGATAACATTTCAGGCCTAAAGAAAGACCTGCAATAGGCAGATTTAGCTATTGCATAATGTATGTTTAATGTAAATTTTTTTTTTGTATATTTATAGTGTTCTGTAACATGTGGTACAGGATTTAAAACCAGAGAGATCAACTGTCTGGATAGAAATCGACGAGAATCAAATAGCTGTGATCTCTTGACACGACCAACACCACGAGAGACTTGTCAACCAAGAAAATGTCCTATTCGAGAATTATCTGCAGGTATTATTTTTTTTCCATTTAAAGAGTACATACATTGTAGTGATTGTACATACAATGCCAATGAAGACTCTGTGAACATAGTGATTGCTTACTATTTATGAGGTTCTGGATTTGATCCAAGTGGGGTGGCCGAATGGTTAAACCCCATTTCATTTCATTTTATTTTTTACGTCACTGGCTCTTACAATAGAATGGGGGAATTTTTGGGGAAAGGAATTCTACTAACACTTATCTGTTCTTTTAACGTATATGTGAGCGTTGGGTGGCGAACGATTAACGTATGCGTGTTGTATCATAAGGTCTGTCATTGGGTTTTCTTCAGGTTTCCACCCACTGCTAAAGAGCTAAAGACCCTTACATGAAAGCGAATTATTGAAATAAAATTGAACCATATGTTGTTCCCGAAATGACATGGTTTGTGTCGAGCGGACGTTAACCCTCTATCTCTCTCAGTGGCTGTGGCACTGAGTAACATATAAAATAATTCCTACTGTCAAACGAAAAAAGAAAGAATATATTTTACACATTATTTTCTCTCTTTCAGAAAATGATTGTCGAGATTTATATAGAAGTTGTCCGTTAGTTGTTCGTTCCCGCTTGTGTTCATATAAATATTACCAACAGATCTGCTGTACATCTTGCAGCGGTCATACATAGTCACATACATATTCATAGAAAAAACTTTTATAAAATAAAACAATTGGTAAAAATCTGTGGTTGATAAAATGTTGATTGACGAAAACCAAAAAAGTGATTCTTTATTTTGATTTGAATGTATAGTGTTCTCTCTGTGTGTGTTATCAAAAGTTTTTTCTGCAAACTAAAGACGTGGTGCCTAAATTGCACTTTAATTTTTTGCCTGATTTCACTACAATTTTTTGATTGATAATTAGGACCTGGGCCCCGTTTCTCAAAATCTTAACTACAGATAAAATCCAAATTTTAGTAGATACTTCAATTCTGATTGGCTAAGCACGAACATCAATCTAATATTATCCAATCAAATTACTAAACTTTGGATTTTATCTTAGTTAAAATTTTGTGAAACAGGCACCTAAACATTTTGGAAGAGTTGCTAATCAGGTGTATTTGACTGTTTACGTAGTAAGACATTGCAGTATGAACATAGTTCATTGTTAGGGCCTACTCTTTTTAGAACTGTTTTTTATCTAGGGAAGTTAACCTTTGACATAACCATCTAAAGACAATGCAGTCTGATTGACAGTCTAGTGGAGGGGCCAGTGCCTCAACACTCGACCACAGCCCCTCGCAAAAAAAAAAAAAATACAGGATGAGACAAGATGTGATCTATTGAATGTGTCCATTAATGGATGGCATTGTTTGTCATTGTATGACTTTAAAGTAATAGGATTTGTCATTGGCATCCAGCTGTGACAAAGATATTATCCGGTGGCCCTACGAGTGCTGGCGCGATATATATCGTTGAATTGATGCATCACAATTCACCTTCTCAGGATTCGCGTATTGAATCGTGAGACACTGAATCGATGTATCGCGGTCTTTTTTTTATGTATTTATGTCGCTTCAGTAAGTAACCTGTCACTTTTAATTATCTACGTCACACATTATCCATAGGTACTGAAACACTCTTAAATTGTTTTGGTCCTTATTTTGATCCATATCAATATTATGATATAAAAAAGTTTTATTTATTCGACATTGGCTTGACTAAAAATATCAATTATTCATTTATCCTGTTGTTTTCTTGGTAAATTTTGACCTGGTTACGAATCGTGTTACGATTTGTATCCTGGAACCTGAATACATATCGTATCATGACTACAGTGGCAATACCCAGCACTAGACTAACAGTTTTCTATTAATCTGGTTACATTTTTTCACTCTTTTTTTTTAGTTAACCCTGTAGCCCTTGGTACATGTATATATTGATGGCTGAATGGTAAGCGCGCGTGCTGTATCATAAAGTGTGTCATTGAGTCGACTGGCGTGGTTTCGAATCCCCGGTTGTACGTGACAAGGAGTAGGGTCACCTGTCCAACCTCGTGGGTTTCCTCCCACTGCTAAAGACCCCTACGCGCAAGCGAATTATTGAAATAAAATTAAACCATATGTTAGTCCCGAAATGACCTAGTTTGTGTCGAGTGGATGTTAAACCCAATTTCTCTCTCTATATATATATTGATTAACCCAGTTCCTTCAAGGAAATTAGAGAAGTGATATAGTTCATACCGGTATATATCCATGGACAACCCAAAGCTGTTCCTTAGACTTCCTCAAACCATGTGAATAGCTCTCTGTGCTGTAGGACTGTATATTAGTTCTTCAGGGCACCACAGCTAGTCACATATGACTCAGGCTGTTTGAGTCCTGAAATGAAATGAAATGGGGTTTAACGTCCTACTGTTCTGCTCCTACTGGGATAATGAAGACGGACATATGAGGGAAAATTTGCCCAGACAGTGGCGCTATGGCCTACTCTTATTTCAAATTCCAGCTGCCAATGGTTCTATTATCTGTACACAGGACTTTGATTTTCCATCCTATCCAAACAACTACATGTTGTCCTTTGCCAGACCCCCTGTCCTACACCACTATCCAACCTCGTGGGTTTTCTCCGGGTCCTCCGGTTTCCTCCCACTGCTAAAGACCCCTACGCGCAAGCGAATTATTGAAATAAAATTAAACCATATGTTAGTCCCGAAATGACCTAGTTTGTGTCGAGTGGACGTTAAACCCCATTTCTCTCTCTCTCCCTACACCACTAACAAGGGGGAACCACTCTGACCCTTCTACACTACTGACAAGGGGTAACCACGCTGTTTGAGTTCTACTTATAGGACGTTTCGGGTGGCGCTAGTACTAAAGGGTTATATTAACTATTTAGGTGTCATGACCATATAATATGTACTATAGTCATCACACGTTTCATGATGGTTAGCTTTGGTTCCCCTTCAGAGTGGTGCAGGATGAAGTATCTAGTCCCTTTTATGGGGTCCAACCTCGTGGGTTTTCTTCGGGTTCTTCGGTTTCCTCCCACTGATAAAGACCCCTACGCGCAAGCGAATTATTGAAATAAAATTAAAAACAATATGTTAGTCCCAACATGACCTATTTTGTGTGGAGTGGACGTTAAACCCTATTTCTCTCTCTCTCTCCCTTTTATGGGACAAAAAATCTGAGGGCCTGGATATACATTGGCATGCACAGAAAAGCAGCCTTTTCATTTGGAATTGGAAGAAGTGTTAGCAGAAATGCCACTATCCAGCAGGCGATAAGTGAGAGGGATGCAATGACAAGCTTTTCGTCATGGTTTTGAAGTTTTGCACCAGCTTGAGTTCTTGTGCCCCTCGCAAATTTGAATGGCAAAAAATCATGCGGTTTCAATGCAGTCTTCAACATTATAATCATAATCATAATGCTTAACAACTGTCAATCATATAATATACCGTGGGTCAGATATGCTACAAATACACACAGCCCAATATTGTTTTTTCGGGGGTCGGACGAGGTCTTGTTCCTCATGCAAAATCATGCCACGTCCCTGCTATCCAGACACGATTTCCTTCCTAGCACACTGCATGGCGTATGGCTGTCTTTATTAGCCCAGTTTGTGCACAAAAGTAGGATGTTAAACCCCATTTAATTACATTTCACGACATCCTGAGACTAAAGAGGAGATAACTTTTCTGAATTTGTCAGGCAATTTTTTTATGATTATTAATAAAGTGTTGCTATTATATGTGTGTTTATCAACTGGTTGATTTAGTTGAATAGGAAACTTGTTGTTTTGATTCAGCCTGGTTCCCAATCCCTTTCAAATATCCTGAATAAAATATTGCTAACAAAGAATATTTACTGAAATTGTACATGAACATGCACTCAAATGGATTATTTAACTTTAAACAATGAAATATTACAGTTGAAACTTGGCCTTTTTTAGGACAATATCTATTTTTCATCACGGTTTAACCCATGTTAAAAGAAAATGAACTCAACTTATTTTTTAAAGATTCATTATGTAAGAGCTAAATCTGTCTATTGCAGGTCTTTCTTTTGGCCTCAAATGTTATATGAACTATTATTTACACATTTATTCATCAACTTCTCTAGATCATCAGATGGTCGTGATTTTCAATGGATTGAAACACAATCAGCATTTAATAATTTGATTTAAAAATGGATAATCAAGACTTTGTTTGTTATTGTAACTATGGTATTGACAATCCAGACTAGATTGTGAACACTTCAAAGTCTGGTAACTTCGCTCAGTAACTTGACTGAAATTTTCAATATATTCATTTTTCATTAAATATTTTTAAACTATTATAGCCAGAAACGCCAGCTCGTTATCTAAATCTTACATAATGCATCTTTAAGAAAACAAAATTAATTAATGAACGATTACCATCGGTACTTCAACAGTTCAATGAATCTAGTGTTCAATGGTTTTATTTTAGATAATCCATATTACATATATAAAGTGCTAAAATAATGTTTTAAATGTTGCCATGTTCTTATGGTCAGATCTAATTACCAAGGCCACCTAAATATTTTCTCAAGGTCACAGGTAAAAAGGGTTAGGGCATGTGATTGTTGACATGGATTGTGGGTTAGGGTGAGCGTGACCTTGAGGAAATCTGCAGGTGGCCTTGGTAAATAGATCTAAGCATCTTCTTATATTATTTATATTAATGTTTGATGTATTGTTACACCAGGAACTTGGTTCCAAGCGCTGCTCATCTTGTTCTTATTCCTTTTCTTGTGATATGACATGAGAATTCCAAGATGGCTGCCATGACGTGAGGCTCTGTTCCTGGTCGTTAGTTTGTTCATACTTGTTTTATTTTAGATTGCCAGTATTTTATTATAAGTGCTAATATTTTGTACTCAGCTTATTGCCTATTATACACATTTGCTTGCCAGAAGTTTTTTTTTACTTTTTGTGATGTTGGTATATTTTATTTAATAAACTTTACATTAAAATTTTGGGGATACTTTTGTATTCTTTTTATTAGTCCCTCTGTGGACGTTATCCAAAATCAAATGCCCTAGTTCAAAATGTCTTCGGTAAAACATATCCATAATCAGCCAAGTCCACAAGCAAGATGTCCTGTAACTAGGTGAACATTAAAATGCCCTTACCCACAAGCAAAATGTCCGAGATGGACCTTATCCACTAGCAAGATGTTCTAGATGGACCTTATCCACTAGTAAGATGTTCTAGATGGACCTTATCCACAAGCAAAATGTCCTTATCCACAAGCAAGAGCTCGGCGGATCCTTTGTCCTTACCCACAAACAAGATGCCCTATAACTAGGCGGACCTTTTTTTCTTATCCACAAGCAAGATATCCTATAGCTAGGTGGAACCTTTTGTCCTTATCCACAAGCAAGATATCCTATAGCTAGGTGGACCTTTTGTCCTTATTAGGGGTGATGATTTTCCGTTTCAGAAAATAGCAAATTCCGTTTTAAGTATTTTTAATTCCATTATTTTCCGTTTCAGAGCTGACCATATTGGTTTCCCCTTGTCAGTCGTGCAGTGCGGAGGGCCTGATGTGATGAAATACCATACACGTAAACGATCCTTCGGGAGTTGGAATTCGATATGTGTTGGCCGTAGCGCCGCTGTCCTGGCAAAATTTCCCTGATATGGCACACTATATGGCACAACTGTTCTGCTCCGAGAGATCTAATGAAGACGGGCATACGCTATACAGTGTGTTTATGAGGGGATTTTTTCCCGGACAACAGCCTACTCTTTTACGTACACGCCAATGTGTACACGGGACTTCGGGTTTTCGTCCCATCCGAACGACTATACGTTCCTTGTCAGGACCTCTTGTGCACCACTGACATCCCCGTGAATTTTCTCGGCCAATGCAGGGATCGAATACGTCACCTCCAGGTTAGCGAGCCAACGTCTTACCAGCTGAGCCATCGTGGTGGCTCACCACTGATGGTTTGTGTATCCCAGTCCACTACTGATGGCATGTGGCACATTCCACGGCTGATGGTATATGGCCTGGCCCACGACTGGTGACCTGTGTGTACCAGTCGACTGATGATTGTCATTATATATGTCATAGTCTATCACTGATGGTCTGGTGACCTGTGTGTACCAGTCAACTGATGATTGTCATTATATATGTCATAGTCTATCACTGATGGTCTGGTGACCTGTGTGTACCAGTCGACTGATGATTGTCATTATATATGTCATAGTCTATCACTGATGGTCTGGTGACCTGTGTGTACCAGTCAACTGATGATTGTCATTATATATGTCATAGTCTATCACTGATGGTCTGGTGACCTGTGTGTACCAGTCAACTGATGATTGTCATTATATATGTCATAGTCTATCACTGATGGTCTGGTGACCTGTGTGTACCAGTCGACTGATGATTGTCATTCCACCACTGATGGTGTGTGGCCAGTATACCACTGATGGTCTTTGTGTCCCAGCCCACTACTGATGGTCTGTGGCCCATTCCATCACTGATGGTCTGTGGCCCACCTCCAAATATGATCTGTATGGACCAGTCCACCTTTGATTGTCTTATGTCATATGGTGTGTGTGTCCCAATTCGCCACTGATTGTGTAGATCAGTCCACCGTTGATTGTCTATTATGTCATAGTTCACCACACAGACTGGTGGTCTGTGTCAACCAGTCCACCATTGATGGTCTATTGACGTGTCATAGACCACCACTAATGGTTTGTGGCCCAGTTCACCAATGTCGGTCTGCGTGTCCCAGTCCACCAATGATTGTCGATTGTATCAACGCTTCCAGGTAAATTTAGAAAATAAATAGTTTGAGGTATAAGCTGATGGCAGATAATCCAATGCGTTATGGCCAAAGATGATTTTGAAAGTTGTAATCTATTCACCTAAGTCATGATCCATCACAGTTGAAAGTAAAGTCATCACTAAAGGCACAAAGACCACGCGAAAAATAACCTGCCTTTCCCCAGGCCGGAGGTATAGGTCTTCAGTGTGAATTATTACAGTCACTGCAGTCCTGATCCTTTATACAGCTTTTTTCTGCATGGTCTATTACCAGGGGGAGGCTTAAACTTATTTGATGAACTTTTAGGCTGCTCCCATTTTGCTCTCCTTTTCTTTGTTACATTCAAATGTGGCATATCGACGGTCGGTTGATTGCTGAACACCCGAACGCCAGAAAGTTAAAGAATAAAAGCCACCGAGGAATGCTTACAACCTGCATTGGAGTGTTCTATAAATAGTTCATGAATAAAATGCCGTGCTGAATACTGTAAACGGGAGAAATTATCATCTGAAAATACCCTAACCCATGACCCACCTAGAGTGTCCCACAAGTTTTATAAGTGGCCTAGCCTCACCTACAATGTCCCACAAGTCTTATGCGGGAACTATTGTTATGACAAGCTTTTCGTCATGGTTTTGAAGTTTTGCACCAGCTTGAGTTCTTGTGCCCCTCGCAAATTTGAATGGCAAAAAATCATGCGGTTTCAATGCAGTCTTCAACATTATAATCATAATCATAATACTTAACAACTGTCAATCATATAATATACCGTGGGTCAGATATGCTACAAATACACACAGCCCAATATTGTTTTTTCGGGGGTCGGACGAGGTCTTGTTCCTCATGCAAAATCATGCCACGTCCCTGCTATCCAGACACAATTTCCTTCCTAGCACACTGCATGGCGTATGGCTGTCTTTATTAGCCCAGTTTGTGCACAAAAGTAGGATGTTAAACCCCATTTCATTACATTTCACGACATCCTGAGACTAAAGAGGAGATAACTTTTCTGAATTTGTCAGGCAATTTTTTTATGATTATTAATAAAGTGTTGCTATTATATGTGTGTTTATCAACTGGTTGATTTAGTTGAATAGGAAACTTGTTGTTTTGATTCAGCCTGGTTCCCAATCCCTTTCAAATATCCTGAATAAAATATTGCTAACAAAGAATATTTACTGAAATTGTACATGAACATGCACTCAAATGGATTATTTAACTTTAAACAATGAAATATTACAGTTGAAACTTGGCCTTTTTTAGGACAATATCTATTTTTCATCACGGTTTAACCCATGTTAAAAGAAAATGAACTCAACTTATTTTTTAAAGATTCATTATGTAAGAGCTAAATCTGTCTACTGCAGGTCTTTCTTTTGGCCTCAAATGTTATATGAACTATTATTTACACATTTATTCATCAACTTCTCTAGATCATCAGATGGTCGTGATTTTCAATGGATTGAAACACAATCAGCATTTAATAATTTGATTTAAAAATGGATAATCAAGACTTTGTTTGTTATTGTAACTATGGTATTGACAATCCAGACTAGATTGTGAACACTTCAAAGTCTGGTAACTTCGCTCAGTAACTTGACTGAAATTTTCAATATATTCATTTTTCATTAAATATTTTTAAACTATTATAGCCAGAAACGCCAGCTCGTTATCTAAATCTTACATAATGCATCTTTAAGAAAACAAAATTAATTAATGAACGATTACCATCGGTACTTCAACAGTTCAATGAATCTAGTGTTCAATGGTTTTATTTTAGATAATCCATATTACATATATAAAGTGCTAAAATAATGTTTTAAATGTTGCCATGTTCTTATGGTCAGATCTAATTACCAAGGCCACCTAAATATTTTCTCAAGGTCACAGGTAAAAAGGGTTAGGGCATGTGATTGTTGACATGGATTGTGGGTTAGGGTGAGATCTTGGGTTAGGGTTAGCGTGACCTTGAGGAAATCTGCAGGTGGCCTTGGTAAATAGATCTAAGCATCTTCTTATATTATTTATATTAATGTTTGATGTATTGTTACACCAGGAACTTGGTTCCAAGCGCTGCTCATCTTGTTCTTATTCCTTTTCTTGTGATATGACATGAGAATTCCAAGATGGCTGCCATGACGTGAGGCTCTGTTCCTGGTCGTTAGTTTGTTCATACTTGTTTTATTTTAGATTGCCAGTATTTTATTATAAGTGCTAATATTTTGTACTCAGCTTATTGCCTATTATACACATTTGCTTGCCAGAAGTTTTTTTTTACTTTTTGTGATGTTGGTATATTTTATTTAATAAACTTTACATTAAAATTTTGGGGATACTTTTGTATTCTTTTTATTAGTCCCTCTGTGGACGTTATCCAAAATCAAATGCCCTAGTTCAAAATGTCTTCGATAAAACATATCCATAATCAGCCAAGTCCACAAGCAAGATGTCCTGTAACTAGGTGAACATTAAAATGCCCTTACCCACAAGCAAAATGTCCGAGATGGACCTTATCCACTAGCAAGATGTTCTAGATGGACCTTATCCACTAGTAAGATGTTCTAGATGGACCTTATCCACAAGCAAAATGTCCTTATCCACAAGCAAGAGCTCGGCGGATCCTTTGTCCTTACCCACAAACAAGATGCCCTATAACTAGGCGGACCTTTTTTTCTTATCCACAAGCAAGATATCCTATAGCTAGGTGGAACCTTTTGTCCTTATCCACAAGCAAGATATCCTATAGCTAGGTGGACCTTTTGTCCTTATTAGGGGTGATGATTTTCCGTTTCAGAAAATAGCAAATTCCGTTTTAAGTATTTTTAATTCCGTTATTTTCCGTTTCAGAGCTGACCATATTGGTTTCCCCTTGTCAGTCGTGCAGTGCGGAGGGCCTGATGTGACGAAATACCATACACGTAAACGATCCTTCGGGAGTTGGAATTCGATATGTGTTGGCCGTAGCGCCGCTGTCCTGGCAAAATCTCCCTGATATGGCACACTATATGGCACAACTGTTCTGCTCCGAGAGATCTAATGAAGACGGGCATACGCTATACAGTGTGTTTATGAGGGAATTTTTTCCCGGACAACAGCCTACTCTTTTACGTACACGCCAATGTGTACACGGGACTTCGGGTTTTCGTCCCATCCGAACGACTATACGTTCCTTGTCAGGACCTCTTGTGCA